ATGTTAGTTAAATTATTAGCTCTTTTCATATATTTGAAGTGATAGTTGAAGGCTTGAACTAACCATATCCAAGGTATGTGTTACGCAAGTTGCTCCTTAAATTGTTGCCAGTGAAGTAAAGGCCAGTCCAGCTGTATATTTACTATGCAAGACTTGCAGGAATGTGCCAGAATTTTATTATTCTTTGTAGTTATGTAAAAATAGGGAAACTGAGGTAAGCTCCTGGGTGTTCAAGTACATAAACATGTATGAGGAACTTAAGGGATACTTAAGTTCCTATTGAAGTCCAGTTCATTAGTGGCCTTTTTACGCTCAAAGTAGCTGAACAGGGAAAGTCAGCTGGCTTTCTGCCAGTGGAATTAGACAAGCAGAAGTTTGTGCAGGTTGTGGTTTCCCTGTAGCATCTTACCGTTTGGGGGACTGTTGGGAAAGTTCCTTTTATTTTAGAGCCATGTAAATCTTTGTGACCAAGTTATGCATTCTTCCCATCCCAATCTGTACTCCGCCTTACCTTCTACTCGTTCCAGGGACCTCACAAATTTCCTTTTATAAAACCATCAAAGCACATGTGCTGCCACAAAAGCACTGAAGGTACGTTCCACGTAGGAGGGTGCTTGTATACACGCATTTCAAGGTACATGCTCAAACTGTGAGGAAAACCTCTCTTAAGAATTTTAGTTTTCTTAAGAAGTTGGGCTTTCTACATTGATATAATATTTCTTACAAAAGGTGTATTCATTATTATTATTGCTAATTATAATGAAGATTTAATTTGGTTTGAGGAGTGGTTGCAAGATTGATTTACTTATTATTTCATCCCAATCAAGTCATACATCCCTACATTGGAATTCAGATACACTAAGTTTTTACATTACATTAACTCTTCAAAACTTCAAGCATAAATGCATTTTTCCTGTAAATTTTGCTTTCTCCACCAAAAGAAAGATCTCATGAAGAGGCTGAGCGTTGTAGTGATTGCTTTCTGAATGCAATTCCAGAAGTAATAACAGCAGTTGATTTGTGATCCCTGATGCCACTGTGCTTAAACCCATCTCCCCTACTCTACCATATGGAGGATTTGGGTACACAGTGTACTGACAACTGAGTGGAAGAGAGAAAACATTGACTGGGAGAAGGTGAATTCCTCATTAGGCAGTGCTGCTTTGAACTCCACTGGTGGGAACTGACTGCAGAAGACCTCCACATGGCATTGTGAGGAGATCTGAGGCATGGCAATAAGGATAGGATAAATCATTTAACTGTTACTGAAGTTGGAATGTGAAAGTGCCTGATTAGGATGTATTCTTTTGGATGGACTGAGATTTTTCTGAACCAAGAAGGCAAAGAAATAAGAGATGAGCATCGCTATGGGCAAGATTCTGTCCATGGGAGTACAGCTTCTTTATGAGTTATTGTCTTAGTCTTTCTGCAGACTTTGGTAGCAGCTTGATTTATAGCCCCATGAGGTTGCCACTAAAGTTACTTTACCATGCATTTCAATAGTGAAAGAAACTAAAATCAGATGTATACATGGGAAATACCACTTTATATACCGCTTAGCCAAAATGAATATTAAAATTAAATATTCAGCAACCTGTTCCTCAGAGATTCAAACTCAAATTCACTGCTGTTCACCTATTAGTCTTGGACTAGGACTGAAGACTGCAAAGTAAACAAGGGTATGCAGATTCACGGTTACATGAGAGACTGATCAGAGGAGACAGCCTTTTTGAGAATGCTAATCATTTCCTTTGCTCAGAGATTGCTTCACTATTTTTATTAGTCTGCCTTTAAGTTGGAAAGTGTGTAGAACTTGAAAGACAAAGGAGAAAAATAATATTGTTCATCAGCTAGATTTCCTTTTCTGAAGCATTCTCTTCACTATAAAAGCATCACTGAGAAAAAGAGAAGCTGAATTGGCTCCATCTGCTAGTATAAGTCAATCAACTTGCTTGATTTTGAGTATACTTTAGGTAAACTGTACTGGCACTAGTGTTATTGGTACAAAATATATTTGTGAATACCAAGTTGGACGAATTAAAACATAACAAAATTGATCGTATCCTCATGGGAAGGAGCGAACAGGCCCAAAGAGTCCATGCAAGAGGTGGTTTGTTGACTGCTGAAACTTCAGAACAGTGATCTCCGAGGTCTTTAACCAGACTTGGGTAGTGAAATGGAGACCTGACGGATGAAAATCTTTCTGTTTGACTTCTCTCATTCCCTACCTCTGCTTTTTCAATTCCCATTTGCTCTGACTTTTTAAAAATTATGCTGACAGTCTATGTTCCACAAAGACACTTTTTTTTTTTTTTGGGTGGGGGAAACTTAATTCATAGATACCCATAGATACCCAGCAGAAATGATCATGCTAGAATTCAGAAATTCTCAAAATTCCTGATAGTCACTTATTCTATGGCTTAGTTTTCTAGGCATTCACCAGACAATGCAGCAGACTGTGACACCGCTGCTCTTGTTTAGGACAACAGCTTTAAAACTTTATCAGCTTCATCCTGTACATGAATTTTGTGACCACTGCTAATTCTTGTTTTTTCAGTGTCTCTGCACAAAGTCAATCACAAATAGCTCTTGCTCGTTACGTTTACATCCAATCTGAATCTGCTTTCTTGTATAGATGAGTTTAGAGTAATTCTTGTCAGAATTACTTGAGTCTTGGCCTCCTTTGTCCAAATTGAACATCTTTACTGTACTTTTAGGTATTCCAGAGCCTTTCTCCCGGCAGTTGTTCAGGAAAAAAAAAGCTGGAGATGTCTTGGTTTTTGTACCAAACTGGAATTGAAAATGCTTACAATGTTGGAAACACCTGTGGAATGGGAGAAGCTGTTCCTGTTCGGTACCAGAGATGAATTTCCTTTATTTCAGATAAGCAGTTCTCCCTTTCTGATGTGCCATTGGAGGCTCTGTCAGTAGCACAGCCCTGCCTTGGATAGCATTTTTGAGCCTATTTTCCCTCTTTTGTGGTTCAACTGATATTAGGAACTGATACTTTGTTTTTGGAAATTCTTGTGCCTGCTTAGTTCCATGGCTAAATCGAACAGTATTTCTGCCCTGGCCTCCAAGTGGGTTTGTTGGCCTGAAATTGCTACTGACTGTTGGTGTGAAAGGGGAGGAAAGGAAGGTGAAGACGGCTACTCTGCAAGTGACAATTGCTTGCTGTTTGATTGCAAGAGGACCCAGTATGAGGCATGAGGATGATTTGTGTGTTCTTAATTACTTTTAGGATGAAGTGGAGAAGGTCAGTCTTGTGGTACTGGTACAGCACGTGGATTTTCATGCAGAGTCTGCTATAGCCTTCCTATTTGATCTCCCATTTACCCACAAAGGTAATCGCTTCTCTAAAAGGATATCAGAAAGGTACAATAATTTGTGGGAGGTATTAGCAAAATGTGTTGTCTGTTTTCTAACAAAAGTAACCATTATTCACAGCCTTACAAAATTTGAGGAATGTGACAAATACAGTGGTTTTTTTTTATGTTTTTGGCCTTTCTTTCATCTCAGAATAAAATGATTTGTAAGGTTGAATAAGTAATTTATGTACTACATAAAAGTAGCTGAACGTCTGAAGTTTTACCTATAAAATCCTAAATACCTAAGTTTTACCTTTACAATTCTGGAGGTACTGGGGGGCAAACCCTGAGAATATTGCACACGAAGGATAATTTGGGCTAGCAGGTAAAGAAGGTTATTCCCGGCAGGGAAGTCCTGAGCCGGGGGCACGGGAACGCTGGTCCCGCGTGGATCCGGGAGGGCGCGAGAAGGGTCCGCGCGGAGGCATCGCGCTGCACCGCCCCCC